TGGTGGCACATGCCTGTAGTCCCAGCTACTAGGAAGGGTGAGGCAGGAGGATTGCTTGAGCCCAGGAGTTTGAGGTTGCTGTGAGCTACACTGATCCCATGGCATTCTAGCCCAGGCAACAGAATGAGACTCTGTCTCAAAAAAAAAAAGAATAACTTTACTAAAGTATTGTGCACAACAAAGGCAAAGCAGTAAGAACTGATTTTCTTTAATTTTTTCAAATTTGGTCTTCCATATATAACCCCTTTTTAAGAACTTTTTTTATCTTAAAAATTTTTCAGACATACATAAAAGAGAGTAGTATAAATGAATCCTCATGTATCCTTCTCCCAGCTTCAACAATTATCAACATTTTGCCAAGTGTTTCGTCTAAGCAGCCCACTTTTGGGGGAAGTATTTTAAAGTACATCCCAGGCATCCTACCATTTCATCCATAAACTTCAGCCTGTCTTTAATAGATGATGACCACATACCACATAGAAATGACCACAATACCATTATCACTCCATTAACAGTAATTCCTGATATCCAGTTGGTATTCAGTTTTCCCTCTTTTTTTAAATTATAGTTGGTTTGTTTAAGTTAGATGGGATGTCTTCTAAATCTCTTTTAATTTGTAACAATTGCCCTTGACCAGTTTTTGAAATGTCATTTGTATGTTGAAGAAACTGAGTCATTTGTTTTATTGAATTTCCCATATTCTGGGTTTTTCTGGTTATATCTTATCCTCATGATGTCACTAACATGTTCAGATGTCCCCCAATTTCCTATAAACTGGTAATTAGGTCTGGAGGCTTGGTTAGATTCAGAATCTGCTTTTTTTTTGGCAAAAGTATTTCATAGGTAATACTTGGTACTTCTGATTGCATCATATTTGGAGTTGTCCAGTGTCTGCTGTTCTCCATTTTAGCGATGAGAAAATTGTTCAGTGGGCCAACCTGATTCTTTAAGGTTGAAATATTTGTAGATTTTCCTTAGTCTCAAGAGCCATTTCCTATCTTACAAAACTTTTGAAATGACAGAAGGTTGATATGTAATCCACAATGTGTTCTTCTTTAAGAGAAATAATCCATTATTTCACACTTCTTAAATCCTTTATCATTTTCATTCAGTTTTGATATGATGTGTATTGAATTACAAAAACCAAAGTAACACATTAATCAAATAAAGTTCTCTGCAGTAGCCCTGTTTTATTTAGGATATCTGCATTTTCAGGTGTTTAAAGTTTTATCCTTTTCTTGTAAGACAGAATATAAATGAAAATTTTCCCTGAAATACTCCGAAACTCTTTCCTTATTAGCTTTTTGAGTATTTTACTATTATGGGTCATATGCTATATTTTGGAGATATTTCTTTAAACATCTAAAGCAGATATTATTGTTTCCACACTAATAACAAATCAATCCCAAAATAATTCTTCTTCACTATCTACTTCAGAATCAAACCCAAAATAATTCTTCAATATCTGTTTTATCTCCTTAGGAGCAACTATATCAGTATACATGTTTATTTTACATGATGACTATATCTGATAAATCTATTCTCTGTGTAACGATGTTAAAATTGAGTGCATTTACTTAGCCAGTTTAAAGGAGTATTAATGTCTATAAATATCATTTAAAATACATACTAGATTAATTTTAATGGCAGGCCTAGCCACTGGGGCCATACACATTTAAGAAAGCTATGCTTATGCTCGCTTCGGCAGTACATACACTAAAATTGGAACGATACAGAGAAGATTAGTATGGCCCCTGCGTAAGGATGACATGCAAATTTGTGAAACGTTCCATGTTTTTATAAAAAAAAGAAAGCAAGCTACGGCTTGATGGTATTTTATGTTTCTATGTAACTTTGTTGTCCTTCATTATGAGTAAGGGTAAAAGATATGGCCAAATATGGCAATACAAAGTGGCCAATAATCCAAAAGTTATTAATATTCAATTTAGAGTAGAATTCAATACACATAATAAATTCTAGGGATTTA